TGTTATGCTGAGCTGAAACCTACTTAAGATTGATAAAAAATTAAGGCAAAAAACAATATAGTAATGAGGCAAAAAACAATAAAGTATATTAAGGCAAAACATTTTAAGAAATGATAACAAATTTTAAAATTGATAGAATATAACAGGGTTTGATAAAATATAACAAGGTAAAGACAAATTACTGACATATTACCTAACCAGAGAATATGAGTATATATATTGTTAGATTAAAGCTAAATTTGTGCTACATTATGATTAAAATATAAAAGAAGAAAAAGATAAAAGGAAGAAAAATATACCTGTTTTGAGAAGACTAATTAAGACTTAGACACCAATTAGAAATAGGTTTTGAAAGCAAAAAAATTCTGACCTGTTCCAAATCTACTTTACTTTATTATTCTTGAGATATTAGTTGTCCTTCTAAGAAACGCTAATCACAATCATCAATAAATGAGTAAGACTGCATTCATAGTGGAGACGGATCCGATTTTTACATCCGTTCCGTCAAAAGTCAATCTCATTAAAAATGATATATATGTTCATAGTGCGTCCGTTCCGATACCTTCCGTCTTAAAAACGGATCCGGCAAATTTTGAAGTAAAAACATTTTGACTTTTTGATCCGGCAAATCTTATAGAGCGTTATAACGTTACTTACAATTTTTTTATAGTCTATGAACATTTATATCATTTTTAATGAGTTTGACTTTTGACGGAAATTAGTAAATTTTATTTAATATCTCGTAACCAAGCCTTCTGGGGGAACAGGCAACAAGAAGGCAATATGATGGCCCTTATTAAGCTTATTGCAGATTCTGAACCTATACTAAAAATGTATATACAGCAATGAAGAAAGAAAAAAGGATAAAAAAAATAAGGGATTAAAAACGAAATTATATTTAAACCTATAATAACATAAACATTCTCATTGAATCCATGAAAAATATGGTTATAAAAAAAATTAAAAATGAGATTACATTCAAGAGGTGCTTTTCAATCATAGTTGATGGCACATACGATGTTTCGAAATCAGAAGCAATAGCTTTGATAGTAAGATATGTTGAAAATAGTGAGACGCCGAAGCCTGTTGAGAGACTGATTGACATATATTTTACGGGAAATACCACAGGTCTCGATATAAAGCATAATATAATATCCAAACTTGGCTCGATGAATTTACCCCTTGAATATCTAGTTGGGCAAAGTTATGATGGCGCCTCAAACATGAGTGATCAATGGTGTGCAAGCCTTGATTAGAGCAGAGGCGCCAAAGGCAGCTTTTATTTGGTGTTATTGTCATCGATTAAATTTAATCGTTGTTCAATTATGCCAATCAATTAAAGAACTTCGAAATGTTCTAGGAATACTAGATATGTCGATTTTAATGGTGTAAAAAGATATGAGGTACTCAAAAAATTTTAGTGTAAGGATCTGAAAAAATCGCAATGATTTCTACGCGTCAAGAATACCACTCGGTAATAGTTCCTTATTTATTTAAATTTTAAATGTTTTATTTAGAAGCTGGCTATCGTCATATAAAGCTATTGTAAATTTTTTTTAACTTTATGATGCCTTGAGGGCAGCTTTAACAAATTTAAAGGATTCTGAAGATCCTGCCACTTCCACTATGGCTAGTGCTATAGTCTTTAGAATATAAAAATTTGATTTTATCTTATCACTTTGTGTTTGGATAAAATATTGTTGATAACAAGTTTGGCTTGTACAAAATTGCTAACCATTTCGAAGGATATATGGTATGCAATAAATCAAATTCAACTGGCAAAAGATTGCTTGATTAATTTGAGATGTATAATATAAATTATTGTCTTAATTATTTTTAATCTAATAGATAATAACACTGAATTTTTGGATGTTTTTTCAAAGGCGCAAGATTTTATGAAGGAGAAAAATCTACCTTTTGATTTTGAAAGTTCTAGACTTCAAACATTACAATCCAAAAAGGAGAGGTATATATACTTTCATCATTAAATATAGAAATTTTTTTTAGCTTTAAAATAGGTGTGTATTATGCTGCACTCGATTTAATTATTATGCAGTTTAACGAAAGATTTAATGATGATTCAATGAAATTTTTACATCAAACATCATTTTTTACGCCAAAGGGAATGGTAGAAAAATCAATTATTAAAGAAGATATCGAGGATATCTGTGAATTTTACAATTTAAATTCAAGTCAAATTTTCGAAGATTTATTAACCATTCCCACAACCTCATGTACTGCCAAAAGAGTCATGAGTAAAATTAAATTAATTAAAACAAGACTGCGCAGTACCATGAAAGATTCTTTTCTCAATAATTTAACCATATTATCAATGGGAAATTTTTTATTTAAACAATTAAATACTGATGAAATTATAAATTCTTTCGCTTTCTCTTCCCCTAATTTATTAATTTAAAAATAATATTTATAAAGTCATATTTTTTGCATTTTATTTATATTATATATTAAAAATTGATGCAATAAAAATTATTTTTGAAATTTATGGGTGTCATAATTATCATTTTTTCGAAGGGGGGGATACTTTTCAAGGGAGTACTTTTCATGGGGGTATTCTGCTTCATTCGTTCAAAAAGTGTAGGGGCCACGGGTAATGATATTGCACGGTAAGCGTGCACTATTTTTTTCATGTTTTTCATAAATTAACAAGCACGCCAAAATACGTCATATATTTATTTTTTTGTAAAATAAGTAAAATTACGAAAGCTCTCGTTTATAAATGTTCGTTTTATAATTATTTTATTTGAAAAACTAAACAATTATTTAAACGTTCATTATGGACATTCAATTTATATTATAAAAGTAATCGTATTTATATACACAATATTTAAAATTTAATGAAATAGGTTATTCCTTTTACAGAACCTATTCCTTTTACAGTACCTGTTCATTTTACAGTACCTTAATAGCCAAGTATTTTTATACTCAATTTATATTATAAAAGTATATTGTTATATACTTAGTTACAATAATAATTTTATATTTAAAATTTAATGAAATAGGTTATTCCTTTTACAGAACCTATTCCTTTTACAGTACCTGTTCATTTTACAGTACCTGTTCATTTTACAGTACCTTGATAGCCAAGTATTTTTATACTCAATTTATATTATAAAAGAATAATTGTTAAATTTATAGTTATGCTTATACAGGCACACTGGACAGGTTAAATGTTAGCCTTTGTGCTACCCACCCTATTCAAATTTTTTACTTAAGTTGTTAGGCCCACCCTGGTTCTCTTTAAATACAAGCCCTAATCAAAAATGTATGTAGTTGAACATACAAATAAAAACTATTTGTGATATTTGGAATGGTTAAATTAAATATATTAACCCTTATTTACCATCTCTCTATTAATTCAAGATTATGATATAAATATTAGCACAAAAAAAATCCACAGGCCATGTATATATTTTAAGAGGTTGCTCAGCCTAGCTTATAGCAAATCTCTAATAATAATATTTTTTTAAAAAGCTTATATCATACTACATTCTTATGGATGAGCATCAAAGCAATTTTGATTTAGACAATATAACTTCTAAAAGTTAAATAAATTTAGAAATAACAATATTTTTAATAATATATTTACTATTGACTTGAAATGTAATTATTAAAAGTTTACCTAAAATTTTTATCTTACTCTATAATCTATTTAATAGGTTGGGGCTCAATTTGAATCATTTAATGATTTGCAGGTATAAAGATAGCTAATATTATCCAATACTTTAAGAAACAAATATTTTTATCAATTTATATGTTGTCTAAGAATAAAATGAGATATAAATAATTCCCAATGAATCATAACATATTTTAGTCAGTTTGATTTAATTTCATATATTATCACTCAGAGGTTGATTTTATTTTTTATGCATGTATTTTATCAAAAACAGTACAAATAACCTGAGACCTTAAAATTTTGCTCACTGATGAAAATTCACTAATAAAACTTTTTTTCTTCAAATAATTGGCTTCCAAATTATTCCAAAGAATCTTGAAAACCATAGTAGCTAATATAAGCTTCTCTAATTTTATTTAATTCTATTTTTAACAATCTATAGTGTTACTCTTACTACTATTGCATAACTGACTTATTGGCTTAATTGCTTATTGAACTAAGTTAAATATTATCTACCCATTGGATTTCAATTTAAAATAAATTTTAAAATTCAATCTTAAGTTGTTTTACTTCTTATACTTATTGGTTAAAATATTTCAATTAAGTTAAGATAAAAAATCTAAACACTATAATAAAATAATTATTTAGATTAAACAATGTTTATTATTATTTTATTATATTCAAAATAAGGCTTCTATGTAGCAAGTGACAATAAAGTCAAAAAGTATACAATAGAAATAAACAATAACACCTCCATATAATACCCAAAGGCCCTTTTAAGGGCCAGTTAAAATTTGTAGAAGAAAAAGAGTTTAAAGATAATAAAACATTTAGCTTTTGTTTCCATCAAAAGAGAAATTTATATAAGTCAAATAAAAAGAATAAACAACTTTTCATTTTAATGTGAATTCTGATATAATTATGAATAAATATTTTAAATTATCATATATTTTATTTGAATTTAATAATATCACCTTTGATTCAATTTTAACTATATTTCTTTATGTTAATTTTATTCTTAGCACATAAATTAAACTAAAATGATAGTATTCTTAAATCTTATTAGAAAATTTTATTTTCATTGTTTTGCAAATTTGGCCTACATTTTGATCAATTCATTTGCAAATCCTATAATCTTGCCTTATTTTCCAAAACATCTTTAATTTTTTTTATATCTTACCCTTCTAAATAGCCAAAATAACGTAAAGCAGCCCATAAAAAGTTTCCCTGTTTTTTATTATTGCATTATTTAGAAGTGACTCAATAAAACAAATATTTTTTGAAGGCCATTTTTTATTATAAGATATATAATTTATAAAAAAATAATATTTGTACTATTGATTATATAAAAATAATATTAAATATTTTATTTAAAAAATGATAGCGTTCTAATTTGATTTGAGCTTGTAGATATATTCCCAACTTTCACAAAAGAAAAATTTGAAATTGGGACATTTGTGGTGTTATTTAATGGTAATGTCAGTTTGGGCATATTATTTGGTAAAATCCCTTAAAGAAATAAATATTAAATATTATTAAAGTGGTCTATTACTAAAAGGATTTAATGTCCTAATATTATTTCCATGTGGTAGTACTAAAATAAAATAATTAGGTATATATAATAAAAGATTTACAAGAACTGTGGAGTACATTGTTCGTTTTTGCAGAAGTATCCTCTGGTAATATCTTTTTTGTAATTGATTTGTATTTAATAGAGGCCCTACAAGAAAAACATCAGATAATAATATAATTAAGTAATTTCATTACTAAAAGAATCTTTTTGTCTATCATAATTACAAGAATGGATAACTATATTCTTATCTGATGAGCCAGCAGTGTGCTTTTTAGCATTAGCACATCCTAAAAATAATATATATAAAAAATTAAATAAAGTTTAACAATATATAATCTATAAATGTTTGTATTGATGAATGTAAACTTGTAGAATCTTGAAAATATATTATGCAATTAGTATAAAATTTATAAAAAAATACTTGTGTTTTCAGAAAGAGTTTGTAAGGGTTTACTATTTGTGAAAATTTTTATTGATGAGGGAAAACTAGTATCTAAAAAAAATATATTGTAAAGACATAAAAAAATTTTTTGCTTTTCATATAAACAATATTTGCTATTAGCCAAAAAAAAGTGATATAGATGTAACTATAAAATATGTAACCTTTCATATCTATCAAATGCTTAAAGTTTTGATTATTTTCTTTGTCCATTATATTGATGTTATTTATTTGTTTTTCTTATCACTTTCACTTTTCACAAATAATATAAATGAATTTAAAGATCAAACCTTTTCTCATATTTTTAGCATCTTTGCATCTTTTCAAATATCCAGGACTTATTTTTTCTGGCATTTCAATATTTTTTATATTATTGAAATTGATTTCTACTTCACTAACTTGTTTCAGTGGATTTTCTGGTTTTTGTTCAACATCTTTTATATATATTTTTTAAAGTTTACAGAATATATTATAATTCATTAAAAAAAATTATTAATAAATTCTAAAAAAAATGATTACCCATGTCATTAAATTTAAATCCTGATGTTGGATTAAATATATTGATAGCATGTTCAAATTGTTCAATAATTTTAGGAGTAGGCTGACATAGATCTTTATAAACATATTTTAAGTATGTATATATTTTGTTAAATGCATTTTCATTCATCTGAGATGATAATGATGATATATTTTGCATAATATCCTTTACTTTTCTGAATTTTTCATCAGATGATAAAATTTTTTTTTCATTGATAGTATGATTAATTCTAGTGCCATCGATATCATTTTGATTAATATTATTAGTAAGTATTTTATTTTTATTAGTCATCATGTAAATTTTTGAATTCATAAAGTAATCTCTCTGCCATCTTGGATGACATAAATTTTGATCAAACAGATCTATACCATTCAATCTTCTATATTCAAAAATATGCCTACATGGTAATAAAATAGATTCTAAATATCCACAACTACAATTTGAGGGTAATACTGTTAAAGTTAAATTTCCTTCATCATGGGATATTGATAAATTTAGCTGATATCCTTTTAAAGGCAGCATTAGTTAATATATTTTGATATTTGAATTTTACACTATTTTCTGGATAACTTATTATAGATATTTTTTTAAGATTCATAATCACATTATGATTCTTTTCCTCATTTGAGGTATCTATACAAATATTCAAATTTTTGAAAAAATTTGTTAAATTTGAATGTTTTTTTATTAGGGTTTTGAGTACCCTATTCATACTCTCCGTCCTATTATTTGTATAAATAGAAAAATTTGTGGTTTTACACCGCCATGCATAAGACCACTCGTGTCGAATGTTATGCCAATTATTATTAAAATATTCTTCCACATCTGGAAAATTTAATGTCATCAATGAATTATATATTTCCCAATAATGTGCCTCTGTTTTGGTGTAGATCATTTTTTTCAAAAGATTTAACACAACCTTTACCTGGGTAGAATTTATATTTCTCTTTTTAACGGTTATTTCTCTAATAAATGTTTGTTGTACATAGAACATACATATTTCAAGTGAAGCCATAGGAAAGGCTTCTCTATAAGCATGTCTATCAGCAAAGTCCTTATCTGCAATTATTACTTTAATTTTATTATTATTATCATTGTACGATTTAAATAAATCACACATATTTTTAACAATTAAATAATTCTCAGATTTGACTATCCATATAGCAGCAAATCTCGTTTGTTCTTCGCCATCAATAACAAAGAGAGTAAATACTGGCATTTGATAATAATTTAATTTATAAGTTGCATCAACCAGGAGAATCTCTGGAAATGCACTAAAGTAACCCTTCATATTTGGGGTTTGGTAATATATCCCATGAAGGGTATTGTTTTCAGAAACTATTTTTATAATATTATTAGGGTTTAAATTTTTTAATAAGTTAAAAACATCCAGGAGCTCAGAGTCCCCTGGTTGATATAATATTTTCTTTTTTATATTATATAAATCTCGATTTGTTGTGTAAACTCCTTTTTGTTGGAGGTCATATTTAATTTTAAGAATTGAGGCATCATATTCTAAACACTTAACAATTAATGATCTTGATTCATCATTTATTTTACGTTGCTTAGGTAAACGCATGAATAAATTATAATCTAAATTAATAAATAAAAATTGTATATTTCTTAAAAATATATACCCAAATCATGATTATGCCCACTATTCATTTTGGAAACCTATAGCCTATGTAGATCCCCTATTATTATGTGCTTTTCTGAAAAGCTGTTTGGGCAATTTAGTTGTAAAATTTGGGTAAGTCGTTTTCCTTTCCCACGACTTTTAAAGTGTCTTCCTCCATGTATACAAACATAACGTATATATTTGTATTGTATTGTTTGAATAATGTTTTCATCAAAATTACCAAGCTTGGTACATGTTGCTATATGGTAATTTGTAAACACTAGATTTTCATATTTATCTATAGCTTCTTGCAAATCATTAAATGATTCAAATTGTGCCCCAACCTATGAAATAGATTATAGAATAGATAACCTTATTAAAAAAAATATGCATTGTTACTTCTATTTTTTTTGACTTGTAGAAGTTATTTCTTCATCTAAATCAAAATTGCTTTGATATTCATCCATAAGAATCTAATATAGGGTAACTAATAATCATTATTATTTGAATTTTTTTTGTGCTAATATTTATATCATAATCTTGAATTAATAGAGAGATGGTAAATAAGGGGTAATATATTTAATTTAACCATTCCAAATATCACAAATAGTTTTTATTTGTATGTTCAACTATATACATTTTTGATTAGGGCTTGTATTTAAAGAGAACCAGGGTGGGCCTAACAACTTAAGTAAAAAATTTGAATAGGGTGGGTAGCACAAAGGCTAACATTTAACCTGTCCAGTGTGCCTGTATAAGCATAACTATAAATTTAACAATTATTCTTTTATAATATAAATTGAGTATAAAAATACTTGGCTATCAAGGTACTGTAAAATGAACAGGTACTGTAAAAGGAATAGGTTCTGTAAAAGGAATAACCTATTTCATTAAATTTTAAATATAAAATTATTATTGTAACTAAGTATATAACAATATACTTTTATAATATAAATTGAGTATAAAAATACTTGGCTATCAAGGTACTGTAAAATGAACAGGTATTGTAAAATGAATAGGTTCTGTAAAAGGAATAACCTATTTCATTAAATTTTAAATATTGTGTGTATATAAATACGATCTTTTATAATATAAATTGAATGTCCATATTGAATGTTTAAATAATTGTTTAGTTTTTCAAATAAAATAATTATAAAACGAACATTTATAAACGAGAGCTTTCGTAATTTTACTTATTTATTTACCAAAAAATAAATATATGACGTATTTTGGCGTGCTTGTTAATTTATGAAAAACATGAAAAAAATAGTGCACGCTTACCGTGCATTATCATTACCCTAGGGGCCACTGGGCAAAGGTAATTGGTTTTAATTAATATTTACATACACATTTTTGTAGAAAATTCTAAAATTAAGACGAAACCAAGCTAATATCAAATATAAATACAGTACCTCAAGGCAAAGGTAATTGGTTAATTAATATTTACATACACATTTTTGTAGAAAATTCTAAAATTAAGACGAAACCAAGCTAATATTAAATATAAATATAGTACCTCAAGGTAAAGGTAATTGGTTTTAATTAATAGTAACATACACATTGTAGAAAATTATAAAATAGACTAAACCTCAAAAGCTATTTACATACCATTTTTGTAGAAAATTATAAAAGACTAAACCTCAAAAGCTATTTACATACCATTTTTGTAGAAAATTATAAAATAAAGACTAAACCTCAAAAGCTATTTACATACCATTTTTGTAGAAAATAATAAAATAAAGACTACACCTCATAAGCTATTTACATACCATTTTTGTAGAAAATTATAAAATAAAGACTAACCTCAAAAGCTATTTACATACCATTTTTGTAGAAAATTATAAGTAACCTTAAAAGCTAATATCATATATAAATACAGTACCTCAAGGCAAAGGTAATTGGTTTTAATTAATATTTACATATTAGTATTAGTAAGATTCTATCTTAGTATTAGTAAGATTCTATCTTAGTATTAGTAAGATTCTATCTTAGTATTAGTAAGATTCTATCTTAGTATTAGTAAGATTCTATCTTAGTATTAGTAAGATTCTTTCTTAGTATTAGTAAGATTCTATCTTAGTATTAGTAAGATTCTAAGTATTAGTAGGATTCTATCTTAGTATTAGTAAGATTCTATTCTTAGTATTAGCAAGATTCTATCTTAGTATTAGCAAGATTCTATCTTAGTATTAGCAAGATTCTATATTATTAAATATTTTTCTGAACAAGGCCAAGGTAATTGGTTTTAATGGTGTATGGCAAATTTTTTTTTTCTAAAATTTATCTTTATAATTTTAACAGCATTTGAACACATGGATAAAATTAGGAATATTTATATTTTCTAAGAAATAGAACCTTAGAAGAACAATAATTATGGTAAATTATTTATATTTTATATTTATAACAATCTTTTAGAATTTTTTAAATAATGATACCTTCTGCATATAGAAAGTCAAGTTATTATAAAAATAAAATATATTTTACCTGTATTTCTCCAACCTGTCTCGGGAGAGGTTACACAGTAAATAACCTATTTACTGAAACAGCAGCATGCAACGGTAAATTATTTAATATATAAGATGTGATTTATTGTTTTCTAGATATTTGAATTTATTTGAGTGGAAGAAGAGGAAGTATTTTACAAAATTTTTTAAAAATTTAATTATAAATATTTAAACAAATTTTTCTTAATATATTTTTCCTTAAGTCATGAGATTAGTGCCTCCTTTGATAAATCCTCGACAAGAAGTTGGAGACAGTGATGTGGAGAATTCTGGGAACTTGTTGGAGGAAAGTCAAATGTTCAATCCTCCACAAGACGTTGGAGACAGTGATCTGGGGATTTCTGGGAACTTGTTGGAAGAAAGTCAAATGTTCAATCCTCCACAAGACGTTGGAGACAGTGATGTGGGGATTTCTGGGAACTTGTTGGAAGAAAGTCAAATGTTCAATCCTCCACAAGAAGTTGGAGACAGTGATGTGGGGATTTCTGGGATCTTGTTGGAGGAAAGTCAAGAGGCTCTCCCTTCTTTGGTTAATCATACAGAAGAAGATGGAGAGAGTGGCCTCCCTCTTTTACCATTTTTAGACGAAAGTTTTATAGATGAAGAAGTTTTAGTCGATATCTCCATTGCAGCTAATAGCTCTGAAACTTTACCGGTAATATTTAATAACATTCAATTTGCATATTTAAATGTAGAACGACCATATGATTTTATTCTTTCCCAAAAAAAACGAAATTTTTTATATTCTAATAAATATCTTTATATTCACCACAAATATGGATTTTTATATAAATGTAGGCTAAAGATTTGTACGTCAAGAGGTACATTGTTAAATATGATGTTTACATTGACACGTATTCACAATCATTCTGATGAATCTGAAGAAGAACATTATGCAATTTTAGTTACTATGAATAAGTTAAAAGAACAAATTCGAGCATACCCTTATCAAAGCTAATGTAAAACATATAATCAAGTTATGCGTATTAGAAAAATAGATCCCCTTGTTCAACTCCATCCTAATGCTCTACCAACATTTATATCTGTGAAAACTATTATGAATCGTGTTATTAAATCATTAAGACCTCCTTTGCCTCTTATAAATTCTGATTACCGATTATACGGCAATTATAAGTTAAAACTAGATAATAAAACATTTTTAATTTGTAATCAAAACAATGAATTATTAATATTTTCTACACATGAACTACTTGAATGTCTCTGTAATGCCGACCTAATTTTTATGGATGGTACATTTTTTTCGTGTCCATTATTATTTAAGAAATTTTACACTATTCATGTAATGATTAATCATACAATAATTCCTTGCGCTTATATATTATTGCCAAATAAAACAAAGAAACGTATCTAAAAATGTTGAATCTTTTAAAAAACTATTGTCGATCTATAGGTATATTCTTTTCTCCTCCTAAAGCACTTATAGATTTTGAAATGGGAGTACTTACAACACTCGAAGAAATGTTTCCTACCATTTCTGCCAAGAGGTGCTACTTTCACTATTGTCAATGTATTTTAAGACGTATACAGGGTAATAGGTTGACAGCATATAGTTTATTTAATCCTGATTTTAAAAGATTTTATTGCAGACTAATGGTGATACCCTTCTTAACCAAAATGGACATACCATTGGTATTTCAGAATTAAATCATGAAGTAGAGGCCTTTAATTTAGATCCCATAAGAGATCTCTTTACATACTTTAAAAGTACTTGATTAACCCAAGCGCTAAATTTAAATATAAGATGTGGAACATGTATGATGTTCAAGGTGTAAGAACAAATAACCATGTTGAGGGATTTCATAGTTCTATAAAAGAGTATATAACATATTCTCATCCTAATTTATATCTGTTCATTGATATATTAAACAAATACAACAATATATGGACATTAAATCCATTCAATTGCGTAATGGGGAAAAAGTTACTGAAAGAAAAAAAAAATATATGTCATTGAAGATTCCCAAAATTGTATTTGAAGTAATTATGAAAATTAAAGAGGTTAAAGATATATCGCAACAATTATCAACACTAAGAAAATTAGGAAATAAAGTATATATTATTTAATTTACATATAATAATATATATTTTTAAGAAAACTAAACATAATAAAGATTGTATGCTAAACTTACTGTTACTCAATTTAGCATCACCATAAAACATTTAGAAACTTGCAAACCAATCCAAAGTAAATAATTTTGATTAATATTTGATCTTAAATTATATCCTTAATTACTGAATTAATGTTTGTGTATTTATATTATAGTATCAAATGTATGTACTGCAGAATTCCAAAGTAAAATGTCAAATTAATATTTACAATAATTTTTCAAAGCTATTAATCTACAAGGTCCAGTTTTGGATAACACAAATAGTCTAAGTAAATTTTAATTATATTGGTATAACTATTTTTTAACAAAGTTATGAACCAAGAGGTCTTGGAGGAAATAGATGCCCATAACAGAAATAACATTGTAAATAGTATCTTTTAGATATTTATATCATTTTTAAACAAAGCTATTATTCAAAACAATTCTAACAATCAAATGGTTCAATATAGTTTGATTAAATCAAAATACAACAAAAATATTATCTATTCTAACAAATATTTAATTCAATTTATACATCATCATGCAAAAAAAAAAGAGATTGTATTTTTATATATTAATTAAAATTTTTATTATGAGATATTTGATATAAATTTTATTAATATTATATCAAAAATATATTTATAATAAAATTGTGTTGTATATTATATATTAATAGATCTTGAGTATTAAGAGTTTGCTAAAATATTGTAAATTATCTGCAATTTATTTTTTAGTATATACTGTTCTTGTATTAATATAAATATTAATTACCATTTATTTATTTAAATTTAATTTAAAATAAAAAGCAATTTTTAATTTATTTGTCAAATCTGTTACAACATAATTATAATATAAATTAGTTGTATGTATTAATAATATAATATAATATTATAAAAAATTTATATATTAATAAATACATAGTATAATATAATTTTAAATTTTAATATATTTAATATTAAATTAGATATAAAGAAAATTATGTAAATTAATAAATGTATTAAATTGTAAGATTATAAGATTTTATTATAATATAATAATTAATATTATTTACATAATTAATATAATTTATTTAATATACTTGTAATATATATTGCATATTTTAATATAATTAATTTATAATGAAATAATAAATAGAATTTATTCAATATTATATATATTTTTTAAGATAATTTATATTAGATAATATTAAAACAATTTTCTTCTGCATTAGAGAACTTATCTATTTAATAATAGAACTATAGATTAATTTTTTTGAAATATTTATTCTAAAAAAATAACAAAGAATGGTAAAACTAGTAGCCATTTACTTACGTCGTTTTCTGAATATAATTTCATGAGACTTGTAGATGGGTAGAAAATAAAAATAAATTTTAGAGTAAAGGGGTAATAGATATTTATTATTTCTATAAATATCACATTTACTCATATATTTTAATTTTTTTTGTTATTTCTAATGATTAATGGGATCGTTAATTTTCTTTTATTGGAACTCTATAAATAAAATTTTTATAGTGAGTATTTATAATACTTATTATTCCTTCAAATATCTTATTTACTTAAATTTTTTTGTTATTTCTAATATGGGATCGTTAATTTTTTTTCTTACTAAGAACTCCTTTATTAAAATTTTTATCGTAAATATTTATATAATATAATTATGGCTACAAATAAATATTTCTTTTTATTTCAAGTGCATAATTTGACAACACAAAACATTAAATTATTATTGATTATTAAATTTTTCTGAAAATTCGCGAATATAATTTTATTTATTCATGCCTGTGTGTAGACAATATTAAAAATGTATTTTATAAGAATTTAATTACATATATATATCAGGAATAAAAAAAATAATTTTATAATAGTGCGCGAAACAATAATATAAACGTACAATATGAAAGATGATAATTTTGAATTGAAAAATTGAGTAATAAAGAGCTGCAATATAATAAGATTTTTTAAAATATAGTAAATATACTTTTAAAGTTATTTAGCTTAATTGATAATAAAGAGCTGCAATATAAGATATTTAAATATAAAATAAATATACTTTTACTGTAATTTTGCTTACATTGATAATAAAGAGCTGCAATATAATAAGATTTTTAAACATATAGTAAATATACTTTTACTGTTATTTAGCTTAATTGAGCAATAAAGAGCTGCAATATGATATTTATAAAAGCTTGTAAATTGAGCAATAAAGAGCTGCAAGATAAGATATTTAAACATAAAATTAATATACTTTTACTGTAATATAGCTTAATTGATAATAAAGAGCTGCAATATGATATTTATAAAAGCTTGTAAATTGAGCAATAAAGAGCTGCAATATGATATTTATAAAAGCTTGTAAATTGAGCAATAAAGAGGTGCAAAATAAGATATTTAAACATAAAATAAATATACCTTTACTGTAATATAGCTTAATTGATAATAAAGAGCTGCAAAATAAGATTTTTAAACATATAGTAAATGTACTTTTACAGTTATTTAGCCTAATTGATAATAAAGAGCTGCAATATGATATTTATAAAAGCTTGTAAACTGAGCAATAATAAAGAGCTGCAATATAAGATATTTAAATATAAAATAAAAGTACTTTTACTGTAATTTTGCTTAATTGATAATAAAGAGCTGCAATATAAGATATTTAAACACTAAATAAATATACTTTTACTTTAATATAGCTTAATTGATAATAAACAGCTGCAATATGATATTTATAAAAGTCTGTAAGTAAATATACTTTTACAGTTATTTTGATAATAAAGAGCTGCAATTTGATATTTATAAAAGCTTGTAAATTGAGCAATAATAAAGAGCTGCAATATAAGATATTTAAACACAAAATAAATATATATAGCTTATTTGATAATAAACAACTGCAATATGATATTTATAAAAGTCTGTAAGTAAATATACTTTTACAGTTATTTAGCCTAATTGATAATGAAGAGCTGCAATTTGATATTTATAAAAGCTTGTAAGTTGAGCAATAATAAAGAGCTGCAATATAAATATTTAAACACAAAATAAATATACTTTTACTGTAATATAGCTTAATTGATAATAAACAGCTGCAATATGATATTTAACGTCTGTAAATTAAGCAGTAAGCTTAAGATATTTGAGCATGCAAAAAGCTTAAGGAAATTTGATCATATAAATTTTAAGCTTATCCGAAATTTACCGAAAATTTACCGACAAAATACCTAATTATAACTAAAAAATAGTAAAGGCGGTAGGATACTAGGATGGATGATCCTCACATAAATTATCTCTAATGAAAATTTTTAGATTTAGTAGATCATTTGCTAGATAAATATAATAAGGAAAATTCACCATCAATATTAATTCATAGAATAAATTAGTAGAGTATTAATTTCTACTGTTAATATGATAAATAAATATGAATTAAATATATAGGGGATACGAGGTAGAATTGACGATCATCAAATATAAAAAAGTGAAATTTTTGAAAAATATTTTAGCCAGCATCTGCATTTTTTGGCTTGGAGGGGGGATTTGTTTTCCTGCCCCATCTGCCCCCCCCCCATGCATACACGCCTTCTAGCATTAGCTATATAAAGTTCATCGAATGATCGTAATAATTAATACCAAAATCAATGCCGATATTTATGTTTTTTCGTGTATATATGTGCCTTAGGTAGCTTTACAGCTAGTATAAAGCAAAATAAATTGTTAGTAAATAATATTTGACCTATGATTAATTAAAAATAGATTAAAAACATAGTTCTGAAATATGTACATTTTTTTTATTTGAAAAATATATGGGATCTGCAGGAAAAAATTTTTATAAAATATTAAAACAAATGATGCCAAATTTTTTTCTTAACTGACTTGCTCAACTAGGACAATTTTCTGATCTTACCCAAAATACATAAGCATAGAGTTGGGTTAATATATATTTTAATAAGTTTGGATGTGTTATACATTGACTTCAGTGGTGTAATGCATAAAAATTTGGCCTAGAGTTTTATTATTTATATACTACCAAAAAATATATATAATCGTTTTTTTGGTGGGAATATGATTTAATTTATTATTTATATTATATTTTAAAAATAATATCACAAATTTAACCACCCGATATATATATATATATATAAATTAAAAAATACATAAATATAAATTTAAAAATAAATGTTCCATTTCTTCGTTTTCCTTGGGCTGTATTTTTTGTTGAAAAGATTGCATTCGTCTCAAAATAATTCCTTTTCTATATTTTGACAAATAGATCTGGAATCGACTCTGAAATCGAAGGTACATAATATTTATGAACATTAAGTTTAACAAAGAATTCACTCCTAAACTCTCTCTATTATCTACCATAATCTTATTAAAACGAGTGCCCCATCTACACTCGACAGCACTGTAGGAAAAGCATCCATGCAGTTTAGGTATTTTTTAAATGTAGGGCTAACTTTATCTATTATCGACGTCCAAAAATCGTTTCATATTCATTTAATTTGAATCTTTGGCAGATTCTTATAATTTGCTTATAGCCAATCGCTCATCGACGTTATTAAGCAAATTTTTTTTTAAAATTTCTAAACTAATTTTATCAAAATTCATTCAAGTCATTTTGCCATCATTTTCAAAGCTATTCATTAGACGGGTAGGCATGATGCTATCTAGAGAAATTATAAATTGGTCTATTCTTAATCTTATTCGTTTTAAATTTTTTTTAATGATACGTTTTTAAATAAAAGTTTAATGAATCTAGCAACATCTAAATATACTAACATGATATTTAAATGTGATTGTCAAAATGTACCTAATAGTTTATTTTAAATATCAGTCGATCAATAATAAATGGTTCATTGACAAAAACAAAAGAAGAACTTGATAAAAAATATCATAATCTATTGCTTCTTGCAAAGTAGTTTGATCAGTGGCATCGCTAGGAATTTTTCTTAGAGGGGGTCCATACATATAAATTGCAAAATCATAACCATATCTTCGATAATATAAAATAAATATATTTTTTAAATGCATCAATAATATGTTATTATAATTTAGTCGATTATTCTCAATGACTTTATAATAATACTATATTTCAATAGTAATATAATATCCTTCTACAAACATCAAAACCAGAAAAATATAAATATTAATAGTATTTATTTGATATAAAGTCACTTTTAATTCTTTTGAACGTAAAATCTAAAAATAAATTTTGCTCTGGGAGGGGTCCAAACCCGAAAACCACCCCCGTAGCTACGCCACTGAGTTTAATTAATCATAACAACTAACCTAAATAAAAATTTCAAATTTTTATTCAAACATTCAAAAGATTTTGTTAAAAATGAGTAGTATCGTTTCAATTCTAACAGTCAAAAAAATTTGTTAAGCTTTGAGACAAAAATATATTTTTAAGATTGAGTTATACTATATTTAAACTTTCGGTGAGGCTAAAATGATATTTTTGGCTTAAAAATATGACTTAGCATATTTAGAATCGTTCATAACTTACTAAAAAGGGAGCCATTTATCACTACTACTTGCTGGTGGCGAACACTTTATATTTTAAATTAAAAAGACGCTATGGCGATTTATAAAAATATTATGGAGGTTATAAATTTTTTCAAAAAAAAATTTGATGATAAAAATATTAATGATTCAATAATATCTATTTAGAGAACATTTCAATACCCGTTAGTTCACCTCCCTCATGGTTAACACCATTGAAGTAAAATAAAAAATAAAAAATAAACCCTTTATTCTGTCTATTGTTATTGCATTTCCTTCTCCAAATAATACAGTTTTTACTATCCTTTGTTTATTTAATATAATTGATATCCCTCCCCCCCCCCCCCCAATTTTTTTATCTTTTTATTAACTTGATAATTTTTTTTAATGATTTTAATTTTAGCTGTTAATAAAATATGAAATGAAAATATAAACATATTGATAAATAAAACTGCTTGCTTCTATATCTTATATGTGCTATAATAAAGATATTAAAAAGAAAAAAATTCCTAATTTCGACTATTAGATTTTAATTTTTCTAACAATAATGAGAAAATAGATTCAAATTTAATACTTTTAAAAAAATTATTAAAAATGTTCGGCAAAGAGGCTCTGCCACTCCTCAAAATTGAGAAGGGAAGATAAAAATTAGAGGAAAAGTTCTTAGCCCTCTATTAGCCCACACACAATAAACCCATGATTAAACCGCTTTTATTTAGTAATACCTATAAAATTCTTATGATATAATTTTTGCTAGCATATAAAGGCATTATAGAAATAATGCTGTATAATTGGGCTGATTATCCTGAGTGCAGCCATCTGTAAATACTCCATGTTGATAAATAATACAAATTTAATATTATAAAAAAAATCATACTTCAAACTAAGCATGATATTTGGACTAGTAAAAAAACTAATAATTAGATATGGGCAAATGTAAAAGTTTAAAGTTATCAAATTTAAAAATGGTAGGATTTAGCTTTGAACTTTTGGAGAAAATCTAAACCTATCAGACTTTACCCTCATCTATTATATACTATTTATCTTACCCTATTTTTTTCCTAACTTAAATATAAAATAATCAACTTCAAATAATTTTTATGTAGTAGACTATATACTGCCGACGCCGAGTGTATATTAATAAGTTTTTCCTAAATAATTAAAATGCTTACCTAACATATGTTTTACCTTATCGTCTTTTCGTTTGTATTAGGTGCAATATCTATTTTGTTTTTAGAATATTATGGAATTGTTAAATATTTTAATACTCCATCACCAACTCACATTCCTTTATATGGACAATACCATAAATATGAATTGCCTCAAGTGAACTCCTAATCTAATATTTTATGTATATGACTAATAGGAAATCTTGGTTGGTCTTAAGAACGATTCTCATGATGAAAACTCATCTTTAGCCATAAATTTGTTGCTGCAATTTTTATTTAAAGAATTGAAAGACACAGGGAGAATTAAAAGGTTATTTTTTTTTATTATACCCTTATTATTTAATTATATCATGTATTATTAATCTGAAAACTCTTTTAACAAACAAGCTTTAGACTTTTAAACAATAAATCAAAATAGTTATCACACTTTACCTAGTTTAATAAAATCTCCCAGTTATATATCAAATTAATTTAAAATAAAGCCAAAATAGAACTCTACTATAAACCACATACAATATATTTTAATAATATTTTTTTTATAAATTAGTTTCTATATAAAAAAAATTGATGTAGCATATGAATTAGTTAATTTTTTTTATATCTATAATGTAATAATACTTCTTTTTATACCTATACTATAAAATGATTTATTGATCAAAACAACAGTCATTAACTTTGCATGTATTAAATCTTGTTATTATTTTAAATTTTCATAACTATATTACTCCAATCTTACTCTATGGAGCAGAGAATTTTTGATATGATTAATATCATTACCTTTTAAATTTGTAACTTATATTTACTGTTATTTTTAGTTATTCATATTATGAAAGTAAAAAATAAATAAACAACATTTTTATACTTTATCCCATTTTAATTTGGATAAAAAATATTGTAATAACTTTTTAATACTATGTCATATCATCGTGATCCAACAATAATAGTGGAAATGGACAGATGTAAAAACAACCAATAGAAAGAAAAATATTCTAAATATGGTTTGTTGGCTTATTGGCACCAACAGTTTATTTGGAGTGGCCAATATTTTTTTGAAATATAAAATAGTAAAATGCTCATAGAAATATTTTTGCTATTTTTATTGAAAACTTGTTAATATAAACAATTATAAACATAAATAATTTTTAAATTAAATAAATTGAACAGGTTTTGGAGTTATTATTTTTTACACAAGCCATTAAAACTAAATTTTGTTTTTCTTCATCTATAATTGATTTTCTGGTCCTCAATAAAACCCTTTGATCTTTAATTTCGATAACTTTATAAATAGATATCCTTTATATAAATATAAAAACAAGACACAAATTTTTTAAATAGGTCCTGCTCGAAGGCTAAACTTTGCCTATCTTTAATTTGATACTATATTAAAAGATATCCTTTATATAAATATAAAAACCAAAAAAAACACAAATTTTTTAAATAGGTCTGACCCGAAGTCTAGCCAAAATCATTTCGATAACTATATTAAAAGATATTCTTTATCTATAATATATTAAAAGACATGTCACACTCATAGTGTCAATTTATAATATATATTTAAAAAATTGTGAATTTTGAAAAGCGTCTGTGGCCTAATTGAGAGCGTTGCTTACAAATCTGATCTAAATTCCCATTGGGCATGAAAATGTTGTCATTTGCAAACCTCTGGTGGTAAATGCATGGGAAAATAAAAGTGGCAGACATATATCATTTATAAATGGATTCTTTGGCAGAGGTGAATTCCATGTGATCTGCTGTTTCCAATGTCATCCTGACTAGAGGTCTGCATTGGGCAAGTTTTAGTGCTGCTTGCTCATTAATTTAAAAATTTTGTTTAACTTACTTGTCCAATGTTTAAAAATTATTACATTGGTTGATTTGGCTCTTTATGTATTATTTTAATATTTTTTACTTAGACTTATAAATTATGAAATAAAAAAATAAAATCTTATAATGAATAGAAGCTAGTTGCTCATTTTGCCTGAAATATATTTAAAATTCACCTACCCATATTTTTAAAAATATTTTTTAACCCTCCCACTCACCATCCCAAGATCTTTCAGTTTATCTATAGAATAGGCTTTTAGTTACATAAAAAAAACTTTAATTTAGCAAGAATAAATTTTTTAGGTTTTAAATTGCAAATGAATGTATAAAAATTTATTTAGGAATATTTTTTTATTGAGCACAAAAATACAATGTTTACAGATTTTATGAAAAATTCATATGTTCCGATTATATATTTATATTAAAGGTAATAAATATATCAGAGACCTGTAGGTACCATTTGTACAGACTGCCCTAGATTTTGTTTTTAAAAAAAATTTTAGCACGATCCGGTTTGGATTTTTTTAAAATATATTTTTTCAATTTTTATAGATAATAATAGCTATGTAAAATATACAGCCCGACCTGGGTATCTTTAAAATTTTTAGACCCAGCTCGGGTATATTTAAAAAAATTAAAATATGGCCTAACCTCTGCACCTATATCAAAATATATTTTCTTATAATAAATATCATCTTGAAGAATGGAACCATATTATGAGAAGATACAAACTTATTCAAAACTCTGTGGATAATAATTTACCAAGGAGTGCTCCGTGGCTTCCATTGTTAATAAAAAAACCCTTAAGGAAGGATCCATTCCTATCTAATAGATATTTTCATTTATTTGATTACTAGCTGATGTCCCACAAGAATGACAAGGAATTAGTATTCTCATTAATTTGATGATTGATAAATCAGAAATAAGCCTATGTGAGGTTTGAATAAAAAAATTTACCTTTTTCGATAATAAATACCAAGGTGAAACATGTGCCCCCTGCTGGATCCTTTCGTCAGAATATATGACATATGGGCAGAAAAAAGGAGCTTTGATGACAGTATGTCTCTCGGAATTTTAAATAAACAGAAAATTTGGGATAAAAACAATTTATGAAATGTTCACGAAATTTGCTATTGAAAGCATTTTTAAAGTCTACTTTGATAATAGTCATGTTAGGAGGAGAATTTTGGATATAATACAAATGGCATGATGCTATTTTGCCTTCTCCTTTAACACCAAATCCTAAATGATACACCCTGGGTTTTGTCCCATGGTAATTATTTTTGCTAATAATTTTTAAATTGCTCATTGCAACGGGGTCAATACCACCACAGTGTTTGTGAGTAATCAAGTTTGCCCCCCCCCCCCCAAAAAAAAAAAATTGTTTCGAATTTATGATGGCAGGTATTTTTTTTAAAAAGAGTATTTAGGAAGATTTTAAAACCATTTAAATGATTCTTTGAGATGAATGTAGATTTTATAAGAAGCGAGAGGGCAAAAACTATTGCGTCTGAATGTGGAAAATCTGTTATCATAATTCACAAATCATATTTTTTTTTATTCCATATTTTTCATAATATATTTAGCCTTTTTCTTTAAAAATTTATGGAAATCTTGGAAGAATGAATACGGATAATCTATTCCTCTCATTTAACTATTCTGATTCATCCATCGTCAAATGAAAATATAATTTATTATATCTATAAGGAGAAAATTCTGATTCCCTAAAAACCAAAAAAGACACAGATTTCTTTTTTAAACAAATGCAATCCACAAATTGAAATCACCCAAATATTACTTTTTTATATAAAAAAATATTAGGGAAATTTAAAATGTTGGAGAGTCAAAAATGAATAAATAAATTTAATTTCACCCTATAAAATAAGATGATTGTATACTATGATTAATTTAAATATGGACAAGAATTCACAAAATTGAATGATTTCACTTGCATACAATTTAAGTTTATGCTAAAATATAAAATAATAATGTTGAAAACGAACGCGTTCATTTTTTTTGAAAAAAATGATGAACGACGTTCCTTTTATTTTTGAAGAACTTTGAACGTGAACGCGTTTCTTATTTCGACGAACGCGTTTTTAGAAAATTTTCTTATTTTTAATCATTTGAAAATAAAAAATTAATAATAATAAAAAAAATTTTTAATGACTAAAACTTTAATTTTAAACATGGTTAATATATTGTGTTAAAAAATATATGGCATTTATTTATATTATATTAAATTAAATATTAAATGAAATTTTAAAAAATTTTATTCGTAAAATTTTGAACTAACGTGAACGCGTTCTTTTTTTGAAGGCAACTTGAACGCGTATTTTTGCCAAAGTTTACGGCTTTATAAAATAATAATGAATGTTAATTTAAAATAGAAAGATTGGAAAGAAAAACAACAAAATGAATGCAAAGAATCCATGAAAAAAATGTTAAATCGATTCTTTTAAAAATAAAGTATAATACAGATATATGTATCTTATTACAAATTCCAAAAAGATATAGAGTTGAAGATACAAATATCTTAGGTACAAATGTTATTCACATACTGCCAAATATTTATAATATTATCTGTTCATGAAATACATCAAATAATTAAATTACGCAATCTATACATAAAATATGTTCTAAGTTATATTTATTCATTTTTTTTATCCTCATTTTAAATAAGAGTCTTTGAGTCTTTTTATATGTATAAGAAATCAATAAATACCTTAAAATGTTACATGAGTGCGAACTAATGGTTGATTTGTTGCTGTTAGAAAAAGAAAACATTTACAAAGGGATTCTTCACATCCACCTTCAGAATTTTTTTTAAAATCGCTTGTAATATTTCCCAAAAAATATGAGGCAAATTCACCCAGGTAAAAATTGAGAGGTATTTTTATTTATCAGAAAACAAGGTTTAATTAGTAAAAAGAATTAATTTATAATATTAACCTTTTTTTATTCAGTTATATAAATTTATAAATATAAATTCTCTTTTTAAAATGGACTTTGCTCGAAAGAACGGTAAAAAATAGAGTATTGATTATTGACACACACTTTATTATTTTTATCTATAATGTTCCAACTGAAAAGGTATTACATATTTATTTTCTTTGTTCTCATAATGTGAGTTTCTGCTCGAAAACGATGGGAAATTATATGATTTATTAATTAAATACACATAATTTATATAGTATACATGATTTTATTTTCTCTTTCCGATAATACGCAATATTGAATAAGAAAATGGCTGTTCTAAGTGTAACTACAAAATACAAATCGAATCGAATATTTGCATTAATTATATTCAATTCTATTTTCGAATAAAATAATCACTTATTGTATTCGTAAGAATAATAAAAACATTATTCGATATGATCCGTCGATTTCGAAATTTAAATTCTTTAAAAATATTTAAAAAAATGGAAATATCTTCAAATTTTTTAAAAAAATTCGTGATTTTATCTTGAAAGATTTCTTACGCTG